CATAAATTCACAGCACAATTTACATTTACAAAGTCTGATTCGTAAATTCAAAACACAATACAAAGTAAAAGCATGAATATTTCCCCAAATGCTCACACAAAAGCATCTTTGGTGTATAAGAAAGCAGGCTAACCGGGTAGCTGTATTTTGTGCGAACGATATAAATCATAATGTGATGTTGTAGAAATTGTAATCAGGTGCTAAAAAAAAAGAGTACCCATTAAAATGTCTTTACATCAAAGACCCGATCATAGAAACAATGCACAGTACAAGCACAGCGTTGAGCTTCTTGAGTCTGTTCAGTAAAGAGTGTTTTGATTGGTGGATTAAAAGCTCACCGCTATTGGCTGAATGGAACATCCTCCAAAAAAAGATATTTATGAATCTTAACCTGCCAGGAAGGTCTCAAAAATACCACACACAAATTCAATGCAGTCCACGCATGTGTGATGATTTGCAAATGCAGATTCAACGATCCATAAATACATGTAACATCATTCATAAATGTGTGATGGAAATTAATTCAAGAACTTGATATATACATATTTGTGTAAAAATTTTACATTTATTTAGGTAAGATGCTTTTGTGTGAGCATTTGGGAAAATATTTATGCTTTTACTTCTGTATTTATGAATTGTGTTTTGAATTTACGAATCGGATTTTGTAAATGTAAATTGTGCTGTGCATTTATGAATTTTGTTTTATAAATGTATTATTTTTGAGGTCGATCTGGCTCCATACAGGAGCTGTATGCATAGATGTTTAGCTTCTTATCTAATATATGCATGCATGAAAAGATGTCATAAAGATCGATATTTGATTCTTAGCATTAAAATTAGATCAATAAAATCATATGAACCCAGTCAAGGAACTGGTAGCCTATAATGAGTCTCTGTGCATTTAAAATCTTTAAAATCATAAAATAACTAATACATTTATAATAAGAATGGCTGAAAGGAACTTGACCTTAACTATTGATTTTGTTATTTAGAGTTGTTCTGGACCTGCAGAGGCATATTCTCTGATCACTTCTGTACCAGCCACATCTCAGCCCATATCTGTAGGTGAGAGAACATCATTCTCAGGAAATGATCTCAGATAAATTAAAAAGAACAGTAGCTAACAGATGTCACCAACTGATACTTATAGTATAGAAACATCGTTCAGCGACCACAGCTTCTCACAGCCATTTCCCCCTTCAAGCCTTCAGCAGATCAGTATTACTAGCCACATCTTCTCTTAAAGGAACAGTTCACACCAAATTGAAAAGCATTTACCACAAATGTCTCATAAAAGTAGTGCAAACAACTTAAGCTCCATATTCTAAGTCTTCAGAAGTCATACGACTTCTTCGAGTATATGGCTGCATTGATGATTTTTGCAGGCCCATCCAGAAATCTGCATTTCCCTGATTCCCTTGACAATTAAACAATAAGATTTATCCATCAACTTTTGTATTATTGAAGAAACTAAGCCCTGTGACCAATAAATATGTATGATTCTTACACATTTTCTTCATCATAATAATCTTCACAAATGAACACATTTAAAAAATTTTTGAAGCCTATATAATAGCCGGAAGTAAAAAGCTAAACATAGGCTTCAAAGTCACCATTGAGTGCTGACAGCTATTTCAGTCTTTATTTAAAAACATTTCCCCTGAAAATCTGAGTTAGAGTAGTTCGTAAGAGCATGATAAACAACATGAGGCAGCGAAAGCTTATTATTGAGTAGATGAGTTACCTGTTCGGCGTTGAATTTCCCCAACAATCTCTGTAGTCCCATTTAGCCACTTGTTAGCAAGTCAAATAATGCTTTAACTAACAAAAGGCTCACAAGGGCTTATTTTATGTTATAGACTAAAACGTGATATATCTTGTGTTGTTAAGCACAGACATTGTTTAAGACTTTTAACCAAAAACCCATTCATAAATGCATCAACTTCAGGACAGTGCTAAAATACCTCCTTTCTGGGGTTTGGCCTACAAAAATACATCATCCCTGCAGCACTCTATAGCTCTCATCCAATCATTGTGCATCATGTTTGGTATCAAGACATGCATTGAATATCTTTGGTGTCACTGATGTCAAATTAAACATGTTGCATATGCCCTCAAATTTTGAAGCATTTGTCCTCTGGTTTTCTAATGACTCTGTTTGACCCTCTTCATCATGCTGTTCTTTTAAAGGCCTCAAACACCCAGAGTAACACCAGGACAGCACAGCAGAACACATTACGTCTGTAAATGTAATGTACCAGCCCTCAGATAAGGAAGTGTTTCTTTGTCATATCCTGAGGAATCAAATCTCTCTCTTTCTTTTCACATAAGAGTTTTTTATATAGGCCTACTATAAAAACACACTGTGGTTTCACCACTCGAAACTTCCTCTCTAGTACAAAAGCTACATTTTACATGCCCACATTTAAGTGTTGAGAAACGTGGCTGCCCAAACACACTGAACTAATATAGAGGAAGTTGGACAAATATTAAATTCATCACAACACTGTTGCACAGAATGAGTCTGAGAAGAGATGATACTGTGCAAACTGCAAAGTGTCAAAGTTTAAAATACATGAAAGTTTTATTACAGAGACCATGTTCATCCAGGCCAACAAATGTTCTTTAAATTGATATGACTGGTTTAAATGTTTCTGCACTGCATTACAGATGTTTTGACCAATGAACAACAGAAACAGGGAAATACAGAGGAAAAGGAGGTATATGTGAACACCGTCACACACCAAACTCACATTACTGTTCATAATGAACGGAATACTAACACATTTCCTTGATATCTGTCTTTTCTTTCTTTTATTCTTTCTTTCTTCTTTCTTAAGAATGTTTATCACCTGTACTCCACAATCCCTGAAAATCAGTTCACTCAAACGCAGGGGATCACGCCTACAATTGGGTGAAGATGCACTGTTGAATCTCAAATTTTTTTCATCATGTACATCCATTAAAGTATCTACTTGCAGACAAACAGGTTTTGATTTTCATCATTCATACATTGTGACTGTATTGAGAGGATCTTCTGTGGAAAGTCACATTAGCCCAATACTGCCTTGTAAGAAGAGCTTACTATACACTAAAGACAGTCGTGGCCTAATGGCAGTTGTGCCCTGCTGTAAAACAATAATACAATAATCTTATCCAGTAATTGGCTTTGAAGATCTTGGAAAAGCCATGGAGATTAATTGGTCAAAAAGTTTACATATACAAATGAGTTATATAAAGTTTAGTATTGTTATGAGCCAGTCTAGGATGAAGCTGTAACATAAACTGGAACAAACGATCCTTTGTACACTTTCATTTACAGGACCACAAGTGAAGCACAACTTCAGGGGTGGGCAAAGACCAAAACAGCAAACAAACACCCAACAAACTCTTAACAGGAACAACAAAATTCTCTATCAAACAAACAAATAAATACAACAACAACAATATGGGCTACCATACCTCCATGACTAATAAAGAACAAGTCAAGAGATAACTGTAAAACAGCATTTATGCAAAGATATTTACAATAATATACATCAACAATATGCAGCATCAACAATAGCACACTATTGCAAACACGAAACACACTTATGCAGTCAAGCCAGCATACAGCTCAACAGGCAAACCAACAGCAGCACAACACACAAGATGCTACCTAATACTTAATTTGATGCTTCCTCATTTCATTGCTCCGCCCTTCAAGCCTGTAATCCGAAAACCAATCAAAGTTTATCTGGAAAGAATCTCAATTCTCTAATTACACCCCGATTAGACAAAAAAAAGCTGACACACATAGAAATTCTCCTCCCCCTTCAAACTGGCCAGAATCAAATTAAAGGTTTAATGCACACTGTGACTGAATATTTGAATATTCAGAATTGAATATTGAATTTGAACATTGAATTTGAATGAATATTTGTTTCAGGTTCAACAGCGACATTTACTGGTAAAACGTTGACAACAGTTTTCTGACTCTAATACTGTATGATTTAACCTGAGATCTTTTCTGTTGCAGCTGCTGCTGTTCACATTCATACTAAAGCTTGTTAATCTACCCATACAACAACACAACACTGATTTATCAGCTGCTGCATCAATGAGATGGTCTCTATAAAATCTCTGTAAAACTGCTTTACTGTATCTCAGTGTAAACAAACAAAGCTGAAGCAAATCCTCCTTATGTGATCATGCCATATATATTAAAATGGACATACATATTCATTTTCTGCATATAATTTAATAAAATACAGTGCAATCAGTTCGGAGATAGCATATGTAGTACAATATATAGCTACTGAATTTATACTGATCAGCAGGCCGGACAGAATTCTTTGGAGCTTTTTACCACATTTTGATTTTATTTTGGCATGATGTATTTATTACATGTAGCTAAAAGCACCTTCAAATTAGCCAAAATATTAAATAAATATGCAAATTATAAAAAAAGATCATAGTTTTCTACTCATTTTCTGTCAGACTACTGTCCAATTAATGACCAATGACACCATATGATTCGCTGATTAGATTTTTGCATGCAGCCCTTGTATCTCATAAACTGACCACTGATTGTAGAGCTTATTATTTTTTTGCATATCAATACCTTTTATATTTAATAAAAATATAACATTGAATTGAATTTGTTTACCTTGTCTTTCTTTATAAGAAAGTTATTTTCACTTCATTTAAATGAAGATTGAAAGCAGATTTGTGGCTGGTTTTAAAACTGCATAATGGCATTCAGCTCTCACGCTTTACATTTTCTATCTTTACATGGCAGAGATATCATGTGTATGCTAATATGCCATTTCAAATTCAACCTGTGGGTACAAAAGATGTTACATATGCCCTATTTCACAGTGCACGGTTAAAAGTGTGGTCTATAAGTACACTTTCATCTACATAAACAAACTGCACAATATATTAAACGATTTCCTGTGGTCTATTGTAGTAATACTCTTATTGTGTGAGTATTGTCTTCTTTTCTCACTCTTGCTGTAATGGAGTTGTTCATCTTTATTGCTTTTCAGCTCCTTATGGAGGTTCAGTCCTACAGTAAGTGATTTATGCTTCTTAAATACTGTATGTCCACATTTGTCAAAAAGTGTTGTTGTCCAAAATATCTCAGCATGTCTGATTGTTAAAGTGTGAAGTTATAATATGAATATAAAAATATATGAATACAACCTACCTGATATTAATTTTGCTATTGAATTTTTCCTATATGTAACCAGCTGCTAAAATCTGAAATATTAGCTTAACGTGGTTATAGCAATCAGGTTAATTACTCTACTTGAGGTTTACATAATCAGAATATGATAAAAATATGATTACTATTTTTGTTAATGTCAATACCTGCATATTATTTGATTGGGTTGTTTCAGAATCTCCTACTGTAAAAGTATCTCCAGATGTCATAAGAGAGTCCAGCTCAGTGAAGATCAGCTGTGAGACTCCAGCAGATGTTAGAATGAATCAGTGTTATTTCATCACAAACAGAGAAGAGAAGAATCTAAGAGTCAGTTCATCATGTGAGCTCGAGCTCACTGGTGCTGAAGTGCTCAGATGGACAGGTGTAAAATCCCCTGTATCAATCTACATTAACTGCTTCTACACAATACATGAGCGAGGCATCAATAAACCATCATCTGATTCTCCTCCTGCCACAGTGACGGTTCTAGGTGAGATATTTTCACTGCTGTTCTTCTGTCTTAGAAACTGTTACTGCAGTGTTTTTGACAACTGAATCATTTGTCTTTAAACAGATGCACTTCAGAAACCCTTCATCAGTGTTAGTGATGATGATGACCAGCTCAGCATATCATGTGAAATACCACTTTCAGTCAGAGCTGATTTCATCTGTAG